TTTCTAAACTAAAACAGAAGAGTCCTCCAAAATTCTTCCACATTCTAAAAAATACGACCCTAGGGGACCCCAAGCTTTTTTCAAACTCTAGCAAGAACAAAATACCAGAAGCCCCGAGAATTTTTTCAAATTCTTTCAAAGATAAAACATAACGGCCTCCCAAGATTATTTCCCAATCTTTAAAAAAAAAGACACTGGAAGCTCCTAAGATCTTCTAAAATTTTTTCAAAAAGCAAACACTACGTATTCCCAGGATTCTTCACAATAAACAAAAAAAAACTCTCGAGCTTACCAAGATTCTTTCAAACCCTTAAAGAAAAATGCCAAATCTTTTCAGATTCTTTCAAAGACGAAAGATCAAGAGTCCTCCACGATTCTTTCACATTCTAAAAAATACGACACTAGGGCACCACAAGATTCTTTCCCCATCTTTAAAAACATCCACTGGGAGCTCCTAAAATCTTCTCAAACTCTTGAAAAAACAAAACACCAAGTATTCCCAAGATTCTTTGGCAGTGAACAAAAAAACTCTTGAACTTACCAAGATTCTTTCAAACAAAATGCAGAAAAATGTGAGATCTTTCCAGATTCTTCCAAAAACAACATATTAGGGGCCCCAAGATTCTATCACATAAAAACAGACACTATAAGAACCCCAAAGATTCTTTTAAACTCCTTCAGAAATACAACGCTATGAACCCCCAAAATTTGTTTACATCTTGAGATCTTTCAAAAGTAAAACACAAGAGTCCTCCAAGATTCTTTCACATTCTAAAAAATACGACACTAGGGGACCCCAAACTCTAGCAAGGACAAAATACCAGAAGCCCCGAGAATTTTTTCAAATTCTTTCAAAGATAAAACGTAAGGCCCTCCCAAGATTATTTCGCAATCTTTAAAAATAAAAGACATTGGGAGCTTCTAAGATCTTCTCGAACTCTTTAAAAAACCAAACACTATGTATTCCCAAGATTCTTTCACAATAAACACAAAAACTCTTGAGCTTGCCAAGATTCTTTCAAACTCTTAAAGAAAAATACGAGAGCCCCCAAAATGTTTTTACATGTTGAGATCTTTCTAAAATAAACCAGAAGAATCCTCCAAAATTCTTTCACATTCTAAAAAATACGACCCTAGGGGACCCCAAGCTTTTTTCAAACTCTAGCAAGAAGAAAATACCAGAAGCCCCGAGAATTTTTTCAAATTCTTTCAAAGATAAAACATAAGGGCCTCCCAAGATTATTTCCCAATCTATAAAAAAAAGACATGGGGAGCTTAAAAAACAAAACACTATGTAAACCCTTAGAGAATAATGTGAGATCTTTACAAATTCTTTCAAAAACAAAACTCAGGGACCCCAAGATTCTATCACCTAGAAACAGACACTATAGGAACCCCAAAGTTTCTTTCAAACTCCTTCAGAAATACAACGTGAGGAGCCCCCAAAATCTTTTTACATTTTGAAATCTTTCAAAAATAAAACCAAGATTCTTTCACATTTTAAAAAATACAACACTAGGGGACCCCAACATCCTTTCAAACTCTAGCAAGAACAAAATACCAGAAGCCCAGAGAATGTTTTCAAATTCTTTCAAAAATAAAACATAAGGGGCCACAAGATTATTTCCCAATCTTTAAAAACGGACACTGGGAGCTCCTAAGATCTTCTCAAACTCTTTAAAAAACAAAACACTAGGTATCCCCAAGATTTTTTCACAATAAACAAAACAAGTCTTGAACTTACCAAGATTCTTTCAAACCTTGAAAGAAAAATACGAGATCTTTCCAGATTCTTTCAAAAACAAAATATCAGGTGCCCCAAGATTTTATCACATAAAAACAAACGCTTTAGGAACCCCAAAGATTCTTTTAAACCGCTTTAGAAATACAACGCTAGGAGCCCCCAAAATTTTTACATCTTGAGATCTCTAAAAAGTAAAACCAAGATTCTTCCAGATTTTAAAAAATATGACACTATGGAACCCCAAAATTCTTTCAAACTCCATCAAAAAGAAAAGATGAGAGGCGTCAAATATTTTTTCAAATTATTTCAAAAATTAGGCACAAGATTATTTTCCAGTTTTTAAAAACATACACTAGGAGCCCCAAACATTTTTTCAATCTATGTAGTTAAGGATCGACAAGATTTTTTACATTCTTTTAAAAATGAAATATCAGGATCTCCCAAGCTTAGTTCAAACTCTTTGATCAATAAAACACCAGAAACTCCTAAAACCTTTTCAATTTCTTCCAAGAAAAAACACAGGAATTCTCAAAAATTCTTTCAAATTCTTAAAGAACAAAGCAAGATCTTTCCACATTCTGTCAAAAACAAAACACAAAGATCTAGGAAATTCTTCCACATTTGAAAACAAAAAGACACTTAGGGTCCCAAGATTCATTCAAATTCGGTCAAAAATAAAGCGTCAAGGGCATCTAAGATTCTATTACAAAAAAAAATCAAGTACTTAAGAAGCCCAAGATTCTTTCAAACTTTTTCAGAAATACAACTCGAAGAGCCCCCAAAATCTTTCTACATCTTGAAATCTTTCAAAAGTAAAACTAAGATTCTTTCAGATTTTAAAAAATACGACACTAGGTGGCCCCAAATTTCTTTCAAACTCCATCAAAAACAAAATATGACAGGGGTCGAATATTTTTTCAAATTATTTCAATAATTAGGCACAAGATTATTTTCAAATTTTTAAAAATATACACTAGGAGCCCCAAACATTTTTTCAATCTATGTAGTTAAGGACCTCCAAGATTTTTTACATTCTCTTCAAAATGAAATATCAGGATCTCCCAAGCTTAGTTCAAACTCTTTGATCAATAAAACACCAGTAGCTCCTAAAACCTTTTCAATTCCTTTCAAGGAAAAACACAGGAATTCTCAAAAATTCTTTCAAATTCTTAAAGAACAACGCAAGATCTTTTCACATTCTCTCAAAAACAAAACACAAAGATCCAGGAAATTCTTCCACATTTGAAAACAAAAAGACACTTGGGGTTCCAAGATTCATTCAAATTCTGTCAAAAATAAAACGTCAAGGGCATCTAAGATTCTATTACAAAAAAAAAAAAATCAAGTACTTAAGAATCCCAAAATTCTTTCAAACTTCTTCATAAGCAAAACCCAAGGATCCCCCAAAATTCTTTCACAAAAACTAGGAGTCCCCAAGGTTCTTTCAAACTCCTTCAAAAACAAACCGCAAAAATTTGTTTCGATTCTTTCAAAAACAAGATACCATGGATCTCCACGATTTTTTGGATTATTTTAAAAACGAAATATAAGGGACTCCGAAGATTCGTTCAAATTCTTCGATTTATAAAGCATTAAAAGCTCCTAAGATCTTTTCAAACTCTTTCAAAAACAAAACATTTGCTATCCCCAAGATTAGTTCACATTAAATATAAAGACTTTAGAGGCTGCCAAGACTCTTTCAAACTCTTAAAAAACAACGTCAGATCTTTTCAAATTCCTTTCAAAAACAAAACGCGAAATTCTTTCAAGTTTAAAAACAGAAAGAGACTTGGGATTTTAAGATTGTCTCAAATTCTTTCAAAAATAGAACATCAAGGGCTGTCAAGATTCTGTTACAAGAAAAAAATCAGGCATTATAAAATCCTCAAGATTCTTTCAAACTCCTTCAAAAATAAAACGCAAAAATCTTTTTCGATTCTTTCAAAAACAAAACATCATGGGTCTCCACGATTTTTTAGATTATTTTAAAAACGAAATATAAGGGACTCCGAAGATTCGTTGAAATTCTTTGATTCATAAAATATTAAGAGCTCCTAAGATCTTTTCAAGCTCTTTCAAAAACAAAACATTTGGTATCTCCAAGATTATTTCGCATTAAATATAAAGACTTTAGCGGCTACCAAGACTCTTTCAAACTCTTAAAGAAGAACGTAAGATCTTTTCAGATTCTTTCAAACACAAAACGCGAAATTCTTTCAAGTTTAAAAACAGAAAGAGACTTGGGATTTTAAGATTGTCTCAAATTCTTTCAAAAATAGAACATCAAGGGCTGTCAAGATTCTGTTACAAGCAAAAAAATCAGGCATTATAAAAACCTCAAGATTCTTTCAAACTCCTTCAAAAACAAACCGCAAAAATCTGTTTCGATTCTTTCAAAAACAAAACACCATGGGTCTCCATGATTTTTTAGATTATTTTAAAAACGAAAAATAAGGGACTCCGAAGACGGCAGATTTTTTCAAAATAAAATTCAAGGGGTCCCCAAGTTTCTTTGAAATTTCTAAAAAAATTAGGGCCTCAAAGTTTGTTCAAACTTTTTCAAAAATAACACACGAGGAGGCCCCAAAACTTTTTCACATTCTTTAAAAAAGTGGTATAAAGTTAGTTGTAAACAGAACTTCCCCTCTCCTCTAAAGCGCAATCAAACCAGTCCAGTTTCTTAGATAAATTTATAAAAGGTTATTCTCCTAATATTTTTTGTGACAGTTCAAATATATTAATAGTACCTACTAAATTTTCGGAACTTCGGAAGAATTAAATACCCATTTTTGGTGTAACAAATACCGTGAATAAGGTAATTTATTATTTTTTGTAAAAATCCTGTAAAAATAATGTTTAATACATTTTTACGATGACGTTATCAAATTTTTAGAGGGAATAATAAATAACCAGGGTGGATTCATAAAACACAATGATTAGAATAGTTATTTTTATAGTTATCTCTCCAGTAGTTTGTCAAGTAGTAACTCAACTAATTATACTGCCATTATTAAATGTAGCTCTTGCCACATACTGATATCTCCGCTAATAAGAGCGCTATTGCCTGTGAAACCAAATACAACACACTCCCTAACGAACGAAGCGTTAAAATAAAACTTGCTTGCGATCCATCGCCACAATTTCGTAACCATGGCGATAACTTCTTGGAAGTTTCGATAACGCGACTCTGTGACCACTGAACTCTCCAACAATATAAACAAAACCACCCCTTAACCCACTTTTCGGCATTTCCCAGATCTGGAAGAAAAAAAGCAACGAATTAGCTTTCAAATGGGGCACCATCAGCATGACGAGCATGGACGAGCCCCGACCGAATTTCAGGGGGTCGATGGGCTATGATGCCATCAGCGGAAAGCTGCAGCCACAGAGTCCGAGATATTTCACATATATCAAGGTGAGTATGCGCCGAGTTGTGGTGCCTTTATTGTATGTTTCTTTCCAACATTATCTCCTTTATGTCTGTTATCCCCGGCGCTATTTGAGGCTTCTCGAGTTGAATAGGGCGGTATTTACATGTGTAATCCACTTTCGCGTTCAATCTGGTTTCCATTTTCAGCACGCCTTTTATTCCACACTCGATAAAATATCTTTTTCTGGTAGAGCTGTGCTTATGTGTGAATGGGGTTTTAACACAAATATTCCTGCAGCGAAAATCGAAGCTGATGTAAGCTGAAAAAACTGGTCGAGGGGTATTTTGAAGGAACTTCCCACGTTCCTGGAGTGCAGTTGAATAATTAACAAATTTAACTTTAAGGAGTTTATTTTCACTTTGAGGAGTTTATTTTTTGCTGATGACAACTGATTTTTTGATTCCTCGGTTTTAATTTTTGAATTTCTCGACCTTCAATTTTTCGACTTTTAGTTTTTTACGTTTCTATTTAGTAATTTTTCGGTTTTACAAATGTTTTATATTTTAATTTTTGGTCTTTTCATTTTTCATCTTTTAATTTCTTGATTTTTGATTTTTATATTTTTCAAAATTTTCATTTTTTAATTTCTCGATTTTTAAATAATAACAATTTATTAACGGAAAGTGTTCATTACATAACTAAATCAAACTAAAGAAAGCAATAATTCAAGGTAAATAAAGGTTAATTCAATTTAAATTAAATTTTCGATTATAATTTCGCAACTTTTCGTTTTTGTTTTCACAATTTTTATGTTACATTTTTATATAATTATATTTTTTATATTAATTTTTCGATTTGCAATTTTTCTATATTTAAATATTTTAAATTCTCTTTTTCCTCAATTTTTCAACGTTGCGAGATATTTTTTCTCAAATTTTAACTTCTGATTTTTCAATCATAATATTTGTAGTAGAATTATTATTTATTGATGTTTTAATTTTTCAGTTTTTCGAAGTTTCCGTGCTAAATTTTTAGTTTCCATTTTTGATTATTCAATTTTTTGATTTTTGATTCTTCAATTTTTCCATTTTTTCGATTTTTATTTTGTCGATATATTATTTTTCGACTTTTCAGTTTATAGATGTTTTAATATTTCGTCATTTTTCAATTTTTTCTTTCTCGAATTCAAATTTTTCGATGTTTCCATTATTGGTAATTTTAATTTTTCTTTGTTTTGCGATTATTTATCTCTCAATTTTTAATTTTCTATTTTTAATTTTTTAGATTTTTCAAGTATTGTTTAATTTTTCAAATTTTCCATTTTTACATTTATCGGTTTTTAACTTTTCAATTTCTCGGTTATCAATTTTTCGACGTTTAGTTTTCCATTTTTTATTTATTAATTTTACATTTTTCCACATTTTATATATTTTAATTTTTGGTCCTCTAATTTTTCAACTTGGTTTCTCGATTTTTTATTTTCATTTTTTCAGTTTTTCATTTTTGATGATCTCGGTTTTTAATTTCTCAAATTCTTTATTTAAATTTTTAGATTTTTAAATAACAACAATTTATTTACGGAAAGTGTTCATTACGTAAACCGAAATAACAAAATTATAAGTAAATGCAAATTAAATTAGTTCAACTTAAATTAACTTTTTGATTTTCTTTTCGCAGTTTTTCGTTTTCACAATTTTTGTGTCAAATTCTTGTTTATTTTAATTTTTAGATTTTTAGTCTCTCGATTTTTAATTTGTCGATTTGCAATTTTTCAATTTTTAAATATTTTAAATCTTCGATTTTCTCAATTCCTCAACGCTGCGATATTTTTGTTTCTCAAATTTTAATTTTTGTTTCTCAAATTTTAATTTTTGATTTTTCAATTTTTCGTTTCTTCAATTTTACGATTTATAGTTCAATTTAAGTCATTAATATTATTTTCTCTATCTTTTTTTTTGTAAAACCTTCGTCTCTTTTCATTATTTAAGATTTTTCAATTTTTCGCTTTTCAAATATTATATCTATTAGATTTTTTAATTTTTCGGTTTTCGATATTTCAATCTTAAATTTTTAGGTTTTCATTTTTGATTATTCACTTTCTCGGTGCTTCGACTTTCCAATTTTTCGATTATTTAATTTTTCAGTTTGTCAATTTTTCTCTTTCTTCAATTTTGCAATTTTTTCAGTTTTTTGGCATTTTAATATTTTTCAATTTTTCAGTTTACAGATATTTTAATTTTTCGTTATTTTCTTATTTTGAATTTTACGATTTTTCGTCACTCATTTTGATTTTTAAGTTTTTCAATTTTTCCACTTTTCAATTTCTCAGTTTTTCAGTTTTTCAATTTTTCCGATTTTTTAATTACTTTTCGAGTTTTACTTTCTCGAATTATTTTTTTTTACTTTTCCATCTCTCGACTTTTTCGATTTTTCAATTTTTAGATTTTTCAATTTTTAGATTTTTCAATTTTTAGATTTTTCGATTTTTAGATTTTTCAATTAGATTTTTACATTTTTCAATTTTACGATTTTTGATTTCTAGAATTTCAATTCTTGAACTTTTCAGTGTTTCATTACTGCAATTTTTCGATTTTTTAGTTCTTTCATATTTCGGTTCCTCGATTGTTAATTTTTCAATTTCTCGATTTTCAATTTTTTGACTTCTGCTTTTCGATTTTTAATGAGTAATTTTACATTTTTACAAATTTTCAATAGGTACATATTTTAATTTTTGGTCTTTTAATATTTCTACTTTTAGTTTCCCCATTTTTAATATTTATATTTTTAAATTTTTGTTTGTTCAGTTTTACGAGTTAATAAAAAGTCAGAAGTCACTAACATTATTTTCCTTTATCTTTTTTTTGCATAACCTTTGTCTCTTTTTTCGATTTTCAGATATTTATAATATGTATTATATTTTTTAATTTTTCAGTTTTTCGATGTTTCCATGTCAAATTTTTAGTTGTTTCAATTCTCCAATTTTTTCGATTTTATTTTGACGATTTAATATTTCTCCATTTTTCAATTTTTAGATTTGTCGTTGATTTCAATTTTGTTATTTTTCGTCTTTCAATTTTTAATTTTTTTGTTTTTCAATTTTTATATTTTCAGTTTCTCGAATTCTTAAACTTTTCTATTTCCCTGTTACAATTTTTCTATTTTCTATATTTTGCTTTTCCGATTTTTGAATTATTTTTCCACTTTTAGGTACACGAATTCAATGTTTTTGAGTTTTGAATTTTCAATTATTTTAATTTCTCGTTGTTTTAAATTTTGCGATTTTTCGCTTCTCAATTTTTTATTTTTCAATTAGATTTTTGCATTTTTCAATTTTTCGATTTTCTGTTTCTCGAATTTCAATTCTTAAACTTTTCGGTGTTTCATTTTAGCAATTTTTCTAGTTTTTAGTTTGTCAATTTTCCGATTTTTTAATTATAATTTTTCTATTTTTACTTTCTCGAATTCAAAAATTTCAATGTTTCAATTTTGAATTATTTTAATTTTTCGTTGTTTTCAATTTCAATATTTAGTTTTTTGCATTTTTCAATTTTTCAGTTTTTTATTTCTAGAATTTCAATTCTTGAACTTTTCAGTGTTACTTTTTGTAGTTTTTCTTTTTTCAATTTTTCGATTTTTTCGATTTTTACATTCTCGAATCCATGGATTTCAATACTTCAGTTTTTATTTGCTTTAATTTTTCGTTATTTTTAATTTCGCATTTTTTACTCTCTTCATTTTTAATTTTTCGATTTTCCAATTTTTAGATTTTTCAATTATAAGGTTTTTGCATTTTTCAATTTTTCGATTTTTTATTTCTAGAATCTCAATTCCTGAACTTTTCGATGTTTCATTGTTGCAGTTTTTCTGTTTTCAATTTTTCGATATTTCAATTTTTAGATTTTTGCATTTTTCAATTTTTCAGATTTTTATTTCTAGAATATCAATTCTTGAACTTTTCAGTGTTCACTTTTGTAGTTTTTCTATTTTCAAGTTTTCGATTTTTTCGATTTTTGAATTATTTTTCGATTTTTACTTTCTCGAATTCAAGGATTTCAATATTTCAGTTTTTATTTATTTTATTTTTCGTTATTTTTAATTTTGCACTTTTTCATCTCTTTATTTTTAATTTTTCGATTTTCCAGTTTTTAGATTTTTCAATGATTAGGTTTTGGCATTTTTCAATTTTTCGATTTTCTATTTCTAGGATTTCAATTCCTGAACTTTTAGATGTTTCATTGTTGCAGTTTTTCTGTTTTCAATTTTTCGAAATTTCAATTTTTAAATTTATTCATTTTTCAATTTTTTATTTCTAGAATATCATTTCTTGTACTTTTCAGTGTTCATTTTTGTAGTTTATCTATTTTCAAGTTTTCGATTTTTTCGATTTTTGAATTATGTTTCGATTTTTACTTTCTCGAATTCAAGGATTTCAATTTTCAGTTTTTATTTATTTTAATTTTTCGTTATTTTTAATTTTGCACTTTTTCGTGTCTTTATTTTTAATTTTTCGATTTTGCAATTTTTAGATTTTTCAATGATTGGGTTTTGGCATTTTTCAATTTTTCGATTTTCTATTTCTAGGATTTCAATTCCTGAACTTTTCGATGTTTCATTGTTGCAATTTTTCTCTTTTCAATTTTTCGATATTTCAATTTTTAGATTTATGCATTTTTCAATTTTTCAATTTTTTATTTCTAGAATATCAATTCTTGAACTTTTCAGTGTTCACTTTTATAGTTTTTCTATTTTCAAGTTTTCGATTTTTTCGATTTTTGAATTATTTTTCGATTTTTACTTTCTCGAATTCAAGGATTTCAATATTTCAGTTTTTATTTATTTTAATTTTTGGTTATGTTTAATTTTGCACTTTCTCATCTCTTTATTTTTCATTTTTCGATTTTCCAATTTTTAGATTTTTCAATGATTAGGTTTTTGCATTTTTAAATTTTTAGATTTTCTATTTCTACAATTTCAATTCCTAAACTTTTCGATGTTTCATTGTTGCAATTTTTCTGTTTTAAATTTTTCGATTTTTCCAATTTTTGAATTATTTTTCGAGTTTTAAGTTTTTCGAATAAAAATTTTTCGATGTTTCAATTTTTGATTATTTTAATTTTTCGTCTTCAATTTTGCGATTTTTCATCTCTCCATTTTTAGTTTTTCCATTTTTCCAATTTTAAGATTTTTCATTAGACTTTTGCATTCTTCAATTTTTCGGAACTTTTCAATTCTTGAACATTTCGATCTCATTGTTGCAATTTATCGATTTTTTCGTTTTTCAATTTTGTAATTTTTCTGATTTTTGAATTATTTTTACGCTTTTATTTTCCAGATTTCAAAATTTTCCATTTTTTCAATTTTTAACCCTAAAACCTTCTTCAAGATTCTATTGTATTCAGTTTTACAGTTTCAAAGTCAAATTGCAAAATGTTACACAATTTTGTTTTTTTTTTCCAAAAATATGCTATAGAGTAATAACTCAAAATGGATTCATCATTGGTGGTTAGCGTTTTACCATCTACTTGATTATCGGTCTAATATATATCGACACAGGTGCGGACAGACAGACGGAAACGTCGAGAAAACATAAAAGTAACCAGTCGCCCGATGGACTCGATTACAATACTTCCTTAGCTTACGTTCGGGAAATACAAATTAACCAATACTGTGTTCTTGAATGATCACTATCGTGGTTCTTTTAACAGATGTATTGTGTGTCCGTCCCCGTGGTATTCCTGTGTCTCGTGGGCGGCTTCTTCATGATGTTAGCGTCCTTCTGGGCCGAAGACTACCTCAAACAAAGCCACGCCTCCGACGAGTACATCATACTAGTACCAAGCATAATCTACTCAATCCTCGTTTTCGTGGTCAATGCTTACTATAGACGTTTAGCGACTTTTCTGACTGAATGGGGTAGGTATAGTCATAGTACTAGCAACAATTTCTTGACTAAACCTTGCAGAGAACCACCGAACACAATCCCAATTCGACAGACACCGCGTAACCAAACTAGTCCTCTTCGAATTCGTCAACAACTTCATGTCTTTGTTCTACATCGCTTTCATCATCAGAGACATGGAAATGTTGCGAAGTCAACTACAGACAATGCTGATCATCTTCCAGTTGATCAGTCACATGCAAGAAGCGCTTTTACCATTCACCATTAAGTACTACGGAGCCAAAGTAAGTACTTCACTTTCGTACCAAACTACAAACTAATTCTCCCCCAGTTCGCCTCCTGGAGGAAGAGCTTCTTCTCCTCCTCCAGAGAAAAGAACAAATTTTACAGAATCGCCACCGACGAGCAGCTATTTCCAGTACTGCGATCCCTCCCTTACCTCCCCATAGACGACACCAGGATCGAAGAAGCCAGCAAAGAAGGCGACATGGAGGACTACACCGACACCTACGACGACTACCTGGAGCTCTTCATCCAGTTCGGCTACGTTTTCCTCTTCTCGCCGGTGTACCCAGTGGCGGCTTTCTGGGCGCTTTTCAACAACGTGGTGGAGATCCGCGCCGACGCCTTCAAGCTGTGCAAGATTTTCCAGAGGCCGATGAGCAAGAGGGTGAAGGATATCGGAGCGTGGCAACGCTGCTTCGAGATTATAGGGGCTATGTCCATTATGACGAATTGCGGGTTGTTGTGTCTGAGTCCGGAGTTGAAGAGGTCGGCACCGGAGATGGGACAAGTCGAGTGGGTGTTGCTTTTTGTTTTGTTGGAACATGCGTTGCTGGGGATTCGGTATCTGATGCACATTACCATTTCGGATAAGCCGGAGTGGGTGAGGGTTGCTCTTGCAAGGAGGAATTATGAGTCGAAGCAGGCGCTTAAATTCGAGGTAAGAGGGAATCTCGTTCAGTTTTGTTAAAAATAGTTTGATTTTAAATGATTTTCTGATTTTGTCAAAGAAAGAATTTTCAAGAGGGCGGTAGAGTAATTATGACATATTACGGTACGGGTCAGTCTTGTCCGTGTGCTTATGTCGAGCGGGCAACATAATTTGTAATCAAGTCATCCTTGAAAAGGGTTTAGCATGTCGGTAAATAAACTACAGTGAAAAAATCGGAAAAATCGAAAAATTGAAAATAGAAAAATTGCAACAATGAAACATCGAAAAGTTCTAGAATCGAAATTCTAGAAATAGAAAATCAAAATATTGAAAAATGCAAAAATCTAATTGAAAAATTAAAAATCGAGGACCCCAAAATTCGTTGAAAATCTTCCAAAAAAAAACGTCAAAAGTTCCGAGATTTTTAAAAATTCAAATAAAAAATCAGAAACTCCCGAGATTCTCTAAAGTTTAAAAAAAAAACGATCAGAGGCCCCAACACTCATTCAAATTTTTCTAAATAAAAAAAAAGACAAATCCTCAAGATTTTTTCAAATAGGAGTAAAAAAACCATCAGAAACCCCAAAATTCTTCTAAAAAAAACATTTGAAGTCTCCAAGATTCTTTTAAATGAAAGTAGGAAACGTCAGAGGCCTCCAGGATTCTTCCAAATGCTTCCAAAAGAATTTCTCAGGGACCCAAATTTGTTTAAAATTAAAAACTTCGGGGACCCTAAATCCTTTTAAATTAAAAAAATTTCTTAGGTTCCAAAATTTTGCAAAAAAAAGGAGCGGCCCACGACCTCCATGATTCTTTTAAATGTTAAAAAAAACATCAGAGGCTCCCAAGATTATTTTAAAATAAAAAAAAAAAGTTGAAATTCAAATGAAAGATCAGGAACCCCGAGATTCTCTAAAGTTAAAAAAAAACTGTCAGGGGCCCCCAAGATTCTTTAAAATGTTTCCAAATATAAATAAAAGTCTGAAACTCTCAACATTCTTTTAATAAAAAAAAAGTCAGAGGACCCCAAGATTTTTTCAAATTTTACAAAAAAACCTTGTCAGGGACCCTAATTAGAGTCGTTCACATTCTTATAAAAAAAACCTTCTGAAGTTCCTAGCATTCTTTTAAATTAAAAAAGAAAATGTCAGAGGCCCCCAGGATTCTTCCAAATGCTTCCAAAAGAACTCATCTGGGACCCAAATTTGTTTAAATAAAAAACTTCGGAGACCCTAAATCCTTTTAAATTTAAAAAATTCATCAGGGGTTCCAAGATTCTTCCAAAATTTTCAAAAAAAAAAGCGCATCCAAGGCTCCCAAGGTCTTGTCAAATTAAAAAAAAGCATCAGGAGGACCCGAAATTTTTTCAATATCTTGCAAAAAGAAAACCGTCAGGGGCGCCAAAATTCCTTCAAATTGTTAAAAAAAAAAATTCAGGAGCCCTCAACATTTTTAAAAAAATTTCAAGAAAAAATCGGGAACTCCAATATTCTTTTTATTTTCAAAGAATAAACTGGCAGAAACGTCCAAGATTCTTTTAAAATTTTACAAAAATAGGGGCGCCGACTACCTCCATGATTATTTTAAATGTTTAAAACAACCGTCAGAGGCTCCCAAGATTCTTTTAAATCAAAAAAATAAAAATGAAATTTCCAAAATTCGTGACAAATTTTTCAAAAAAAAAAACACGAGGTCCTCAAGTTTTTTTCAAAATGTTCTAAAAAGAAACTATGAAGGCCCCAAAAGTCGTTCAAATTCTTCAACAAAACCTCGCGAGGGACCCAAATTGAATTAAATAAAAAATTTCGAAGACCCTAAATTCTTTTAATTTAAAAAAATTCGTCAGGGGTTTCCACGATTCTTCCAAAATATTCCAAAAAAGAGATCCGTTAGGAACACCCAAGATTCTTTTCAATGTTAAAAAAAAACTTCAAGGACTCGCAAGATTTTGTCAAATAAAAAAAACATCAGGAGGCCCTAAGATTTTTTAAAATTTCTCAACAAAGGATCGGGAACCCCAATATTCTTTTAAATTTTCAAAAAAAAATAAGTGCCAAAAACGCCCAAAAATGCTTTTAAAATTTTAGAAAAAAAGGAACCGTCGACGACCTCCATGAGTTTTTTAAATGTTTTAAAAAATCGTTAAGGGCTCCCAAGATTCTTTTATATTTACAAAAAAAAAAAAAAATTTCGAAGGTTTTTAAAAAATTTTTCAAAAACAAACCGCACGAGTCCCTCAAGTTTCTTTGAAAATGTTCTAAAAAGGAAACTATCAAGTACCCCAAATTCGTTCAAATTCTACCAAAAAAAAAAACGCCAAAAGACACCAAGATTTTTTAAAATTCAAATAAAAAATGAGGAATCCTCAAGATACTTTTAAATTTGCAAAGAAAACTGTCGAGGGCATACTTGTTTTTCAAATTTTCCAAAAAAAATTCTTCAAAAATTCACAGATTTTTTTTAAATGTATAAAAAAGTCCACCAGAGGCCCCAAAGATTCTTTCAAATTGTTCCCGTTAAAATCCTCAAAATGATTTCAAAATCCAGAATTCATTTAAATTCTTTAAAAAAAAAAACATTAGGAACCCCCATGAATGAAACATCTAAAAGTTTAAGAATTCGAGTAATTGAAAATAGAAAAATTGAAAAACTAAAACATTAAAAATTGAAAGACGAAAATTCAAAATATCTAAAAATTGAAAAATGGAGAAATATTAAACCGACAAATTCAAAAACGAAAAAATTGGAGAATTGAGAGATCTCAAAATTCAACATAGAAACATCGAAAAACTGAAAAATTAAAACATGTAATACATATTATAAGTATCTCAAAATCGAAAAAAGAGACAAAGGTTATACAAAAAAAAAAGAGAAAGGAAAATAATGTTAGTGACTTAACTCGTAAAACTGAAGAAACAAAAAACTTAAAAGTATAAATACTAAAAATGGAGAAACTAAAAGTAGAAACATTAAAAGACCAAAAATTAAAATATGTATATAAAATTTGTAAAAATAAAAATAAACCCAATAAAAATCGAAAAGGAAAAGTCGAAAAATTGAAAATTGAGAAACTGGAAAATTAACAACCGAGGATTCGAAAAATGAAAGAACTGAAAGATTGAAAAATTGAAAAATCGAAAAATTAAAAATCGAGAGATGAAAAAGTGAAAAAAATTTAATTTGAGGTTAAGGGGATTGTGCCTTTTTTATAGAATAATTTGATAGAATCTCGGGGGCTTCTTTTGTATAGTTTTTGAAGAAATTTGAAGTAATCTCAAGGACTCCTTGACTGTTAAATTTGAAGTAATTTGAAAGTATTTCAGGAACTCCTTGTGTTTTATTTCCGAAATACATAGTTTGAAAGAATCTCGTGAGTCACTTGTGTCTTGTATTTGAAGTAACTTGAAAGTATCTTAGGAACCTCTCGTGTCTCGTGTTTAAAGTAGTTTGAAGTAGTATCTGAAGGCCTCTTGTGGTTTTTTGAAGTAATTTTAAAAAAATTCAGTGTCATTTCATTTTCATTTAAATTTTTCAGTTTTCCGACTCTCCAACTTTTGGATGTTTCAATTTTTAAATTTTTCATTTCTTCAATTTTTGCATTTATTTTGTAGTTTTGTGTTTCGGTTTTTTATTTTATTTATTTTTTCAAATTTTCGGGTCTTCAGTGTTTTGATATTCTAATTTTTCTTTTTTTCAATGTGAAAGTTTTCGATTTTTTAATTTTTTCAATTTTTCAATTTGTAATTTTTCGGTTTTAAGTATTTCGATTTTTCAACTTTTAGATTTTTCAGTTTCACGATTTTTCAATTTTTGTTTAATTTTTTCAATTTTCGGTTTGTCAGTGTTCTGATTTTCAAATTTTTCTTTTTTCAGTTGATTTTCATTTTCTCGATTTGTAAATTTTTGGCTTTCAATTTTTCGATTTTTCAGCTTTTATATATTTTTTTCGTTTCTTCACTTTTCGATTTGTAATTTTTCTAATTTTCATTTTAAAACAATTATCCAATAATAATTATATTTTAAAACACTTTTCAATTTTAGGGCTTTAGAATTGTTTTATTTTTCATTTATTCGATTCGATTCGTTTTTTCTTCTTTCCAGTTTTTCGAATCGTTAATTTTTTTCGATTTTTGGTTTCTCAATTTTTTAATTTTTCAATATTTCGATTTTTAGTTTCTTCAGTTCTTCGATTTGCTAGAATCTTGGGGACTTGTTCTGTCTTGATTCTGAAGTACTTTCCAAAAATTTCAGGGATGTTTTGTGTCTCGTTTTTGAAGTAATTTGAAAGAATCTCGGAAACTATTTGTGTTTTGTTTTTTTGAGAAGCAATTTTAAAAAATCTCGAGGGGTACTTATGTCTAACTTTTGACGTAATTTCAAAAAACCTCGAGGGCTTATTGTTTCATATTTTTGAAGTAATTTGACAACATTTCAGGGACTTTTTGAGTCTTGTATTTGAAGTAACTTGAAAAAATCTCAGAGACATCTTATATCTGCTTTTTGAAGTAATTTGTGAATGAGTCTGGGAGGGGGGGGGGGGAATGTGCCATTTTTATGAAGTGATTTGATAGAATCTCGGGGGCTTCTTTTGGCTTGTTTTTGAAGTAATTTGTAGTAATCTCAAGGACTCCTTGACTCTTGTATTTGAAGTAATTTGAGAGCACCTCAGGAGCTCCTTGTGTTTTATTTCCGAAATAATTTGAAAGAATTTCGGGGGCTACTTGTGTCTTGTATTTGAAGTAACTTGAAAGTATCTTATTTTAAAAAATCTCAGTGGCTTCTTGCGTTTTATTTTTAAAATCGTTTGAAAGAATCTCGAGGGCTTCTTATGTCGTGTTTTGAAGTAATTTAAAAGAATCTCGGGAACATCTTGACTTTTCTATTTCAAGTATATTTAAAAGATCCTCGGGGGCTCCTTATGTCGTATTTTTTAAGTAATTTGAAAGAATCTCGGGGACCCCTTGATCCTTGTATTTGAAATAATTTGGAAGAGCCCTACTTTGGTTTTT